GATGAGGGGGGGGGGGGGTGGGGTTGCTAGTCCAACTTGGCCGTGAACACAGAGTGAAGTAATGGGTTTTCTGATTGGCTGCTGGGGAACTGCCTATGGTGGGCCCATACAAAGGAGCAATCTGGGGTCCAAGAGGCTTAGAACAAGCTCTAATCTGAGACTGGGCCCCCATGTTTGTGAGGACACTCACTGACATAAAGCATTTCCCAGCCCCTTAACCTGAACTCAAACCTCCTTCTAGCCTAAAATCCTAAGACAGCCCCTTTGAAGCTAGGAGGACTGGCCAAAATGTCCTTACTTTCCCAGAATGCCCACATGTCCACGGTGACTCCGGTCCTCTCAAAGATAGCCATACCAGTACACACACACTGCTAGCCATCTCCATCTCTGATGAAGGGGTCCATTCATGCCTACTGACGAATTCCTACTCTATGAAAGGAGCATTGTTTGGCTGTCCTGAACAACAACAGAGTGCTGGCAATCACGCTGCATAGAAAATATAGGCCTAATGTAGCATTTAACCTGAAGGTATGAGTGCAAGCTTCACTCTAAACAATTATATAAACTGACTTGATTTGTATGTTGAAAACAGTGTACAAAGGGCTTTATAAAAAGAAAAATAATGGTTCATTATAAAAGTGAAATACAGTGGGTGCAAACTCTCACTGCACAAAGAGAGTAAAAGGAATCAATTAAAACAGCTGATGTCTGTTATTTTCTTCTTAACCTGTCCTCCTTGTGTCCCGTAAAGACTTTTCTTTGCCTTAGACCTTTTAATGAGATCATCTGCAAAGTGATTAGCAAGTTATGCTCATGTATGATTTAGGGTGGAGAGAGGAGAGGATAGGTTTGATGCAAAAATGCACCAGTAAAGCGTAGGGTTGTTAGTGTTTTCACATTAACTTGAAGTAAAATTGATCTTATGATTGATAAACAGCACTAATCACTTTTAATTGGATATAACTAATGCGACATAGTATAATACAGTAGCTACTGTGCGGCAAAGTTTTAGACACTTTAGATTGTATCCATCCCACTGCACCATCAGGGTGGCGTCTGATCGATCCCAGATTCATTCTGCAGCAGAACAAGCTCAAACACTCAGTCAGTCATGAAGAACAAAAGTCCTACATCAGATGGCCACAGAGCCCTGCTCTCAACATCAGCCTGGGATCACAGGAAGAGACAGGCGATGTGGAGAAGGCCTGAATCTATAGAAGAACCGTGGCGGAATCTGTAACAAACAAGCTGCCAAGTACCTGGAAAACTGTGACCAAGTTTACCTGGTATGAGTGCTGTGTAAAGGCAAAGGGTGGTCACAGCTAATAGGTTTTCTCTCTTTGCTGCACTTTGGAGTTCACTGAACACTCATAAAAACTATTCATGGCATTATTTCAGGAAGCATCCTCACCACACTGTTTGTGCCTAAAACTTCAGCACAGTCCTGTAAATTCCCAGTCAGTCCAACGGCAGCTCGACCACTCGGTGGAGCTGTGGTAAGGATCTCACCCTCCGACAAAAACAGACCTTTACTTGCTGCCTGTAACTGGCAGGTCAGTGGTTAAATAACAGCCGCGCTAACAGTGATCTCAGAGATGCATTCAGAGGCCTGAGAGCGCTACTGCCGTTACCGTGGTGACGGAGTCCTCTCCATCGCCGTCAGCTCCGTCTCCTCGGTTACGTTCTGTCAGGCACTGAGCGGAGGCGCGCCAGGCTTGGTCGAGAATCATAATGGCAGAGGGGGCACATGAGGGGAAGATCTGAACACACACACACACACACAGATTCACTCTTCAAGGCTCAAAGGGAAAATTAGTAACTCTGTCTCGAGTTTTTCAATAATATAAACAGAGTGTTGAAGTAAGATAAGTGGTCAAACTAATATTACAGCCTGTACAGCGTCTTAAGGCGCTGCTCATCCTTCAGCTTGGTCAGAATGTCGCCAATTAGTTTTCTGACATCCAATGAAACACAGATTAAAATGTTAGTTTGTGGAAACATGCTCTTCCTTCTTTGTTTTTATCCTGTTAATCCATCTCAAACCCCTAAGATTGATCCTGCACCCCCTGTGCACCCCCAGGTCGGGAACCACTGCTCACTGTTGACAAGAACTTGTACTGGTGCCTAATTTAAGCAAAATGTGGCAACTCTATCATTTCTGTTGCAGCCCAGCGTTTGGTCACCTAAGCTGATGTAGCTTTAAGATCAGTGTAATCAACATGTGAGAGGGAGGCAAAGATTTGGGAGGGTGGAGGGGAAGAGGAGGGGGCAAATGCTTGAGGTACTGGCTGAGAAACAAGAGGGGTTTCTGGGAAGTTTGAACAGGAGAAGAATAAGATGAAGGGGACAGAGGTGGGAGGGGGTGAAACTGAAGCGAGAGGGTCACATAAGGTCAGTCGCCATTCCTCTGCCTCCCTGCAGAGACAAACAGGCCTGCACAAGTTTTACTGTGGCTTTCAGATTAGTAACTCTTCTCTTTTATAACCTGTAGCACACAGATACTACACACAGACTGCCCTCGCTCTGAAACAGGCAAGGTGGCTTCATTAACATGGATAAGCTTTACTTATATCGCCAGTCTTTAGTAGAGATGTAAAACTGGACACTGAGGCTGTTTAATCTCTAGTGGAATGTTGATCCAGAGTTTACTAACAAAGACTAAAAGCTGATTTTGAAGGCCCATGTTCTACTGTCGCGAGATCCCTGGCAGCAGTATTTCAAAAGGACCTGCCTGAGGAAAGATATTCTGTGATGAAAGATCTTTATTTGGTAGAAAAATAAAGAGCAAAATTAAAATCCTCTGTCACAAGTAACATGATTATGCATTCCATATACTTCATTTCTGTGCAACAGCACTAACAGCGTCACACAATTTCAACTTTATTTGTAACAGAAAATCTCCAAAAGACAACATTTTTCAAATGCATTTTGAGTGCACGTTACTGAAATATATATATATACACTGTAACTGTGCAACGTACAAAGTAATGTGCATAGCTGCATTTACATTTTCATGAGCAGCGTTTGCCAGAAGCTCTAAGACAACACAAAATGAACTACATTACAGACTCATTGTGATAACTGCTTTCTTTTGGTATATGGGGACAAAAAAAATCAAAAATCATGTGCACACATTATTGAAGCTACATTAAAATCAGTCAGTATTCATGATCAATGAAAAGAATCAGCTCAAGTGATGGTCGCCACAGATTAGGTATAATACATTAGCACATTTGCCTCATTCTGTAGAGCGGACTTCAGGTTAAACAGTGCACCTTACCCTTTTTAAGCAGGTGTCCAGCTAAAAACAACCACACCTCACCGAGTCCCCGGATGAACACCACTCGAAAGCGACAAGCCGATGAGTTAGAGAAGCACCTTTATGCTTTGGAGGCTGCAACCTAATCCAGTATAAGCAAGCTAGAATATTTTTACAATATTCTAGCTATAATATTTTTACTCTGTTAGAATTTTTCTCAAAATTCAACAAATTACATGTGAACATGCAAACACATGACCTCTGATACCAGAGAGTAGCATCTTAGATAGAATGTAAAGTGATGAGGAAGCAGCTTGGAGCAGTCATATGCTTCTGCCAGCCAGTCAAATTCACAGGAATGGGACAGACACGAGGCCACAGTGGCCCTGACCTTTGACCACCAAAGTGTATCCTTGAGTTCACGTGGTCACTTGTGCAAAATTTGAAAAACAAAGTGTTCACCAGAATGGGACGGACGGACAACCGGAAAACATAATTCCCCTGGTCACAGCTGTCACCAGCGCCGTGGCCTAAAAACTAAAACAAAACGGAGGCAAATCCCTCAAAGATCCTACATTTGAATCCACGTTCATGAGGAGGACTGTTTGATTCGAGAGCTGTAAATCAGTACAATGAAGATGTCAATAATATAATGAGATCATTTTTACATTATTATATTTTCACTGTATTCAACTACTGCTTGTTCAGTAAGCTGGACTGCATCTACAGAACACAAGATAACTTCTGATATTTCACCTGATGAAGAACCAGCGTGGTCTAATATTTGGGAGCAGCAGAGGCAGTGCACGACATAGCCTTTGTCATTGTTACAACATTTAGTAAAAAAAACATGAGATCATTCATAACTAAATCATTTTAAAATTCAAAAGTGTGACACCTGAGACAGACCCTCAACAATCCTTCCCTCTCATCCACATGCACAGGATTATTCTGCACTCGTAGCACATTTGGAGTAGGATGGCTCGTCCACGTAGAGCACGGCACACACCTGGCGGACCTTGCACTCACCTTCACAGGTGATTCTGCTGTTGTAGTTGACCATGTAGTGAACAAAATACTTGTCAAAGGTTTTGGCCTGTGGCAGCCTGAAGCTCAGGCCCAGCTGCAGCAGGCTTTGTGGCTGCAGGTCAGCGAGTCCAAAAGCCTCAGTCATAATATATTCAAGCCTCCAGTCAGAGCTTTGTTTCTCATTGGCTTCCGTCAGATTCAGATAGTACTGCCAGATATCCTTCAGAGGGGGAGAAAAGCGATAGAGAAAAGGTCTTTGAGTGCCAGAAACTGTTTTTGTGTGTTGATTGACACTGTGATTAATCATCAAGAGGGACTTTCTTCTCTCTCGACCAGAGAAAAGTGTTTGTTTAAATGCAGGACATTACAGTTTCATTACCTTTATCAGTATAATTGCAAACTCAAGCATTTCTCATCTCTCTTCTGTATCTTTTTAATAAAGTGAGATTAAGATTTTGCCTCTCTTTGGTCTGGGGCTGTTTGGGTTGGTTCAGCCAGCTTCCACAGTCTGGTGGAAAGTCTTAAACAAACCAAGACTGTTACAGCAGCAGATTAATGTCTATGGTTTTGGAGTAAGATCTCCAAAAATCATATGATGGAAGATGTGGGCGTCCACATACTTCTGTACACGTACTGCAGCTACACACTGTACATGACTTTTAATGGGTTTTATCCTTCAAACACAGCTGAAATATGTTGGGGTTAAACCACAAGTCGTGGTCTGGTTGATACTGGGCCAGCTGGAAACCGTGTGACATATAAAGAAGTCATGAGTTGAACGTGTAGCACTCAGGTTCTTACCAACACAGTGTAGTCCTCGGTGTTGTACAGGTACACGCGGAAAGATGGGTTGTTAGAGTACGGCTGGAAAATGTCTTTGATTGGTGTAACAGCCGGCGACACAAAGAGAGAATTGACCGGTTTACCTACAGAAAAGCAGACACATGACTCGGTTCAGGTTGTAAACATGTGGCCAGGATCTGGTGATTCTTCAGTCATAATAAATCCCTGATGTTCAACAGCAAAATTCTGGCTCATCTATTCTGTGTGCACTTCACAGACATGGATACCTTATGTGACAAATTCAAGTTTGGTATTTGAGAAATATATTGCTGAAATCTGTTTAAATGCACAGAACATAAATACATTAAAGCAGCAGTTTTCATTTTAATGGCTTTTGGTCACTCTTGTCTTTAATGTGACTCACTTTGAGTTGCATTTCCTGGATAAAGCACAGGTGACTGTATGAGCTCAGTGATGTACAGGTGAAAGATCTTCAGACAAAATAATACAGCCATTTGTGCAGTGTTGAATTTTTGTTCACCGTTTGCTCACACACTGTCCTCAGCAATGCAAACAGCCTCTGCTGGCACAGTGCCGGTGTAGCTTTAGGCGAGAGCTGAGCACGGGCTTTTAGTTTAGAACTGGGAATAATTAGCACATTATTATCTTTGTCTAATCGGCAATTCACTATGCAGAGCTCAGGAAGGTCAAAGCCTGACTATATAGGCTTTTCTTTAAATAAATAAAAAAAAAGAATAATAACTGAAACAAGCAGTCATTGCAGCTCTGCTTGAACCATGACAGAGGTGTGTGTCGGTTACACACAGGCGACTACAGCAACATATTACTGTTAAGCACAGTGCAAAGACTTAACAAGAAGAAAGAAAACAGGCCATTTTCAGTAAATTATGTCTACTGCTGGGCTTAAAATCAAGGTCAACTGAACACGTGCAGAGTTACTTCAGTAATCAGAAACACTATGTTTCACCTTGTTCGTTCAGCAGCACCATGATGCTGTCACGGTGAGTGTGGCCGTAGAAATGTCCTGCAATGACATGGCTGTACTTCCTGAAGATGGCAACCAGCCTCTCGTTGTCGCTCTTTCTCATAGCAGTGGTGTTTCTGACAAACGGCAGGAAGCCCACAGGGACATGAGCTATGATGTACACCTACAACAGAAGGAGGTCTCATTTAAATCCCAGCTGTTCAAGTGCAAACTGAACTAATTGGGTCAGTGGCAGTGACGCTGCTGACCGGAAAACAGGTTTTGCCATATACTCCACACATATCCAACACTTTGATTCATTTATGAAAAAATAGGCTTTGGTTTCAATCAATGGTCATGAAATAAGTCATTTGACTGCAAAATGTTAACTTAAAAATTCAACATGCAGGTCAGAGGTCAAGCTATAAAGACATCTAATTCTGGACCTTCTCCAGGTTCTGAGCAGCTTTCTCCAGAGTCTTCTCCAGCCACTTGAACTGCCCAGCGGGGTCCGTCATGTTCTGTGTGACTTTATTAGGACCATAGTAGAGGATTGTGTTGAGACTAATCACTCGCAAGCCAGGCTTCGCCAGCTGGGAGTAGAAGCCACCTGCAGGAAAAGAACAAAAAGACAATAACGAAATGTTACAAAACACAGAGTCAATAATCATTAATTCATTCATTAGGCAAATATTAAAAGCACCTCTGGCTGACATGTGAGGATACATTGCATTTGTCTATTACTGTGAATTGTACAACGATCAGCCATAATATTATGACCACCTGCCTAACACCATATACACAGGAGTCAATGCAGCAGCTGGTTGGCACGTGACCCTGTGGCCGGTTCACTGTCTGTACTTCCTTAGACACTGCTGTAGGTACTGACCACCGCAGACCAGGAACACCCACCAAGCCCTGCAGTCTGGGAGATGCTCTGACCCATCACAGCCATCACAGTTTGGCCCTTGTCCAAGTCACTCAGCTCCTTGCACTTGTCTGTTTTTCCTGCTTCCATCACATCAACTTCGAGGAATGACAGTTTGCCTGCTACCTAATAGACACTGACAGGTGTCACTGTGATGAGATAGTCAGTGTTACATCACCTGTCAGTGGTCATAATGTTATGGCTGACTGTTGTATCTCTCTGTGGTTCAAATTTAAAACATGTATGAAAGTTGTGCTGAGTTTAACAGTCAGACTGAAAGATGCTCAAATCTGACGTGCTGGTGTCGTCACATGTAAACATCTGCACCAACCTCTCGAGCAACAACACAATAACTCTGTATAGCAACATCAGCCATAGGACTGTGATTTCCTCTCTTCCTCATTTCTTAATATAGGAACTTTACAGTTTGCAGATTTTAGTGCTGATATGCTCCTGGCTTTCACATGATTTCAAAAACACAACTGCCTTTTTGAAACCATCTAGTTACAGTAGCCAGAATGCAGAGAGGATATACTTAGAAAATTAAAAGTTAGATTGTTTGACGTTAAAAATATTTAAAGAACTTTCAAGCGTTTAAAAGATATTGTGTGGACTGGAGGAATCTGAGAGAACCCTGCTCCCGGCAGCTGATGCACCACCACCGTTACCTTGTGAGAGTGTGAGCAGAGCTTCAGGCTTCAGCCAGGGTTTCCACAGCTCGGCAGCAGCTTTGTAGATGGCATTAGCAGAGGCTTGCATCTGGTCCTAATATCAACGGTGCAAACACAATCATCTCACACACAGTATACCTTAAATACTTGAAACCAAAACCTCAAATCAAAGTACACTCATGCATACAGGCACTAAATGTCACCCAACCACACAAATGTCCAAATGAAAAAGCTTCCCCTCTCTCACCTGCTCCTGTAACAAACTGGTGGCACAGAGTGAACAACTTCAAACTGCTGAGTAAGTCTCTGACATGAAGTTACCTGTGGCCAGTAGTCATGGTTTCCCAGAGCAGGATAGACCGTCAGGTTGGGGAAGTGCTGTCTGATGGTCTGGGTCATGTTACCGATCACCTGGATCACTGTTTCCGTGGAGAGCTTGTCTACAGGCACGTGAGGTGGGCTGTCACTGCAGGTGGGGGGGAATATGGCCCAGTATATTAATGCAGGTCACAAGCTAAAGAGAAAGAACACTGTACACGTTTATTCTAATCCTTTCAGACTCTGGAGTCTTCTGCATGAACTGTAGTGACTAGGTGCAAGTGAAGTCCATTCACAGAGCAATGCCACGTGCCTTTCCAGCCGTTAACTTCAATGCATTTTTTCACACTTGCAATAACTACTGTAAACAGGCTCTTCTGGGTTTTCTGCCTACATTTTGTTTTATTAAACCACCAAAAATGTTGAGTTGACAGGAAAAAACAGCACAGAAATAAGCAACTTAAAGGACAAATGCTGTTTATCATGACTTGAATCTTATTTATTTATTTTTTTTACACTTTTCTAATAATAACACTGTAGTTTTTTGCCATCTACCGCTCAGCCCCACCAGTATAAATCAGGGAAAACCCTGACTTCTTAACAGCACTGTGTTCCCTGTTGTAGACAAACATGTCTGGCTCAGCGGAGCCGCCTCAGCCGTACCCGACTGCAGAAATAACGCACATTCCTCTGTACAATGGCTGCCCCCTTTAAGTGAAAAGGCCAGCTCATGCTACATAACCCATTAACAATAGAATAAAACAAAAATCTTGCTTGCACACCAACTTAATCCTCATCCCCAAGGAGTCTGTTCAGACTTCAAGAGGCAAGGCGTTCTCTTAAGCGTGTTTCTTAAGCCTGTGAGTTCCTGGCTTAGATGATTAGCTGCAGATTAATAACGAGCTGTATGGAGGAGCTGCTGTGGCTGATGCCTGCAGTTTTTCCGCGTCACATTATCACAGTCTAAACGGTGTGAACATTAGTTTCCACAGAATGCAGAATGCTCTGACAAGTGGACAAGGTTTGGTGCTTCAGTGCTCAAGTAGGACTTTATTCACTGCTTTAAAAACATCATGTGCCGTCATCCATGTGTCTTTCCATCTGTAACGATGGGAACCTGGTGGATACTAAAATATGTAGAAGACAGAATAAAATAATCATTAGCTGCAGCTTTAATTCTACTAAGTGCATTGAGATGGTACATTTCTTACAGGTTAGACTCATATTCTGTTAGTATGGAAATTTGATGAATAAGGTCAATTGGGTGCTCACCCAAAAACCACAAGGGAGATCATAAAGTAAAGTGAAATTATGGAACTTTATATCCAGCACAGACCACAAAGAACAAGAGGAAGTTACACTTCTGCTTGCTGACACAAGAAAGAACACAAACACAGGAACCCACATTACAGTCAAAACCCTGACTTGATCAAAATCTCTTCTCTTTAACGGTCCTTTGCGTTAACAACAATAAACGTGTCCAGACTAAAGAGAATTTTAGAGACAGTGTAATAATGACAACAGAAAGATGCAACTGGAAATAAACCAAGACACCGGATGAACCTAAACTGATGATGGTGCTGGATGAAAAGTCAGGGGTTTCATTAAAGTTAGTACAATGCATCCTGTGACGAACATGTGTCTGAAATAAAACAACCATCCATCTCATTCAGCTCCTGTTCTAATGTGACTAAAAGCAAAAGCTCCAAAACATTCCCTAGAAAAAGTGGGAAGCATCTAGCACAGCTTCATGGAAACATCCTCAGCCTCCAAGTCTAGAACCTCAAAGTGGTTTGGTTCTCACATTAACACACACTTATACAGAAAGGTACTCAAGGTGCACAGCAGCTGCTGAAGTCAGGGGAGAGGATATGAAACTACTTCAAAGCTACTGATGGTGTTTCTATGAGTTGGTTAGCCACACGTTCTGCTGATGGTTTTCAATATTGTGCCCTAATCGTTCATGGAGGCAGCACAACAAAACCTTTAAAGTCTAATTCTCAGAGAGGATGAAGAAAATGGCAGTGACATAATTGCATCCATCTCTCCCTGATCAGCATACTGACCCGGTCCAGACGATGAAGTCCTGTGGCTGTGTGAGCGGTGCCATGTGAGCGAAGGCTGACTGGATGAGGCTGTAGGGAGAGTCACACAGGAAGTCTCCGAACAGGCCGGCGTCTTTGACCGGGGCTCCTTTGGAGGAGAAGCAAACCTTGGTGGGGTCTGGGGCCAGGTGGTAGGAGGGGTCCAGGTGGAGGTCGGTGATATGCCAGAACCTGCCTGGATAGATGGAGGGATGGTAAATAATGATAAGGGAGAGAGTGCAGACAGAGATGACAACCTAAAATACAGTTTGTGAAAGAGAGAGAGAAAAATTTAACTACTGAAAAGAAAAATCTAATATTTTGATTTGAGGCACATGACCACCACTAAATATATCTGAGAACATGTGGCTAATAGGACATTTACAGAAATGATAATGTGCATGCACTTTAAATAAACTCAAAAATACAACTGCACTGCCCAGAAGCCTACCTATTCATTTTTACATTTAGAACTCAAATTCTGTTTTTGACATACATGTATGTCCTTTAGTTTTTTTAGCCAAGACAACACTTTCAATAAAGTCAATACAGGAGAAGTGCATGGGACGTTTTTGACAACAATTATGCAAATAAGGGTTGGCAAACTTTGTCAATATCTTTTGATTTTTTAAAAATTAAGTTTCTTATAATAACTTGTATAGAATGTAATGTAAGGCTAATATAACCACAGTTTCTTTTTTATTATAAATCCTTTTTTAAAGTACAGTCTTTATTCCCTTTATCTGTATTATTATTTAAGCCTATTATTTAAGGCTAGATTATAAAAGAAGTACTAAACCCGTTTTGCGGTTTAGGTAATAAACGTAAAAACTCCATAAAACCATCAATATCCATCTTAAATTTACAGGGGCTCAAAGAACGCCAAACTCTGTTCGCGAATCTGTCAATTCATGCGTTTTTTAAACATTTGCAGACGAAATGTAACATTCAGAGCGACATTTACCACTTACCCTAGATATTCAATGCCTTAGAGAAAATTCGGCCAGGAGCAGAGTCACCAAGTAACGCCAAATTTAAGAACAGGTCGACTTCCGCAGTGACATCACACAACTCAAGACAGTTAAGTACAAACTCACACTGGTCGTTTTATCCTGTGCCGTTCGGTAGATAGTGACACAAGGCAGAAATACACAGCTACAATTTCCCTGAGTTGCCATTAGCGTGAAGTTCCGGGTCTCCCACTCACCTGAGCCCGCCAGGTAGCTGCTTCCAGTCGGTGCCGCGGAAAGCGGAGCCGCGCTGCACATCAGCAGCACAAACATGAGGGGTTGTATCATGTTCACTGTATCACACTGCCCAGATAGGTATAATCCCAAATAGCCAAGCACGGAAGGTCAACCTGATCTGAAGTAACCAGGAAGTACAGCGGCCAACTCGTCACGTGACTGGTTTTGGAGCTCAGGGGAGGAACTTATAGAAACGAAAACTGAAAGTCTGCAGGTCAGTGGCGGGATGTGACAGTACAAGTACTGTACTGTACTGGAGTATACCGTTTTTTATTTTTACTCTATCACGCGTTTTCAGTGCCACATAACCGACGTGTCACATTTATTTGACATGTAGCCTATAGGCTACAGATTTAAACTTTACATACAACATATATGATGAGATGATTAAACTGTCAGCATTTCTCACTATTTTCTGAAAATTTACAAACCTAGAAAATAATCAACAAATCATCACTGATGAAAATATAATACTTTCACTTTTAATACTTTACGTGCATTTTCCTGATTATAGTTAAGTGCTAACCGAATATTTCTAAAGTAGCATTTTACTGAGGATTGGTAATGAAGTATTTTTGCAATGTAGAATTAGATCCTGTACTTAAATAAAGGATCTGAGTACTTCCTCCGCTGCTGCAGTACATAGAGAAGCTGAATGGCTTCTATTCTACTGCCGACTCTGGATGGATGTGGCAAGGCCTGCAGCACATCACAGACTACAGGACCACCACCAGCATCATCAGCTCCACAGACAGCCTGCTGGATGACCTCAACACCTTCTACACCCGCTTTGAGACCTCCAGCCAGAGCACAGAGAGGAGGCACACACACACCACCCAACCCCCCGCCTCCCCTCCACTAACTGTCTCACCAGGCCTGGTACGCACAGTCCTGAGGAAGCCCCCGCAAAGCAGCAGGACTGGACAACATCCCAGGGAGGGGTCTCAGGGCATGTGCCAGCGAGCTGGCTGATGTTCTCACCAGCATCTTCAACCTCTCCCTCAGACAGAGCATCATTCCCACCTGCTTTAACCCTTGTGCTCTGTTCGGGTCTGTGGGACCCGGAGACACATGTCACCTTAAAAACAACAATATATATATATTTATATATATTGTTGTTTTTAAGGTGACATGTGTCTCCGGGTACCACAGACCCGAACAGAGCACAAGGGTTAAGTAAGGTTTCATTTCACCTGATGCGAGCAAAAAATGTTCACCCTGTAGAGCACTGAAGGGGTGCACTAGATTTATAATACAAGACAAAACTAGAGTAACATTGCATAACAAAGTGCAGCACAATAATCATTTTATCTCAGTTACTTTGTTTTCATAATTGTTAGAAGCCAAGATCATAGTTGTAAACAACATTTTATTAACTGTCCAGCCCTACCTGGTGCTCCTCTCCTGTTGCATCTCAGGATCACTGCAGGGTCTTTTCTCTGGAGGTTCCAGGTGCTTCATCTTCCTCTTCCTCTTCTTGTTCTGTTAGAAAGATGGAAAGAGGGACAACACAAACTTGTCCAGTTTATCTTTTTCAGACTGATCCAATAGAATGTGACTAACTGGATGGATCCTTCAAGCTACAACAGATCAGTTCTGAGAGAAAAACAAACCAATGTCATCACTTTGTAATAATGTTCAGAGCATTTTAGAAGTTACTTTTGGGATGATAGTCCTCAGCTTGTCTTCCTCAGACTCTATTACTTTTTCCAGAACTACATCTAGAGTAGTGGGCATCCACTAACATTCCAGGAGATCCAGTCATTCAATATTATCCC